GTCTCCCTCTCTCTCTCTCTCTCTCTCTCTCTCTCTCTCTCTCTCTCTCTCTCTCCCTATGTATCTATCTCAATCCCTCTCTCTGTCTCTCTGTATCTGCACCCCCCTCTGTCTCTCTCTCTCTTACTCTCCGTCTGTCTCTCTTTGTTTCCCTCTCACTCTCTGTCTCTCCCTTTCTCTAAAAACAAGGCCGATGAAGTAGTTCCTATTATCAATGTTATTTTCTGTTGAATGGCTTTTATCCTTTACTTTTCTCTTTTTCTGTTTTAGCCTCGTCTGTCATTCGCATTCATTTATTGTGTATATTTATCGCTCGTTCTGTGTGTAAAATAATTATGTTTATACCGAGGTATTATGTGAGCATTATAATATTATGTTTGCTTTTTATTCAATTTCCTCATAGTCCACATTTTGCATTTTGTCATGCATCAATATTTTTGCTTCATTCTGTTCTATGTTTAACCACGTTTATCCTTAATCCCTCAGCCTACGATGTCTATAAGAAATTTTTAAAATCTTTTTTTCATCTTTCACTAGGTGTGTATTTTGGTCCACAGTGTACTTGAAACTTTGATGTGTACCCATGTAACCACATTCGATTCTTTATCTCATTGTTTCTTTATTAACTTTTTTTCTTTCCGCACAGGGAAAAGGGAGGATTTTTAAATGGGTTGTGGAAAAGGTACAGAACCACGTGTTGTAGATGTTGGTGGTAGTCGTAGAACTATCGTGTGTGCACCTGACAAATAGATAGATATAAGAGTCGGGCTGACAAAATGACTTACTTCTCACAATCCACAATGAATGGAGAACGATATTGGCTAAAATCGAGATGAGGGTTAAATTTGTAGATTTTCTATTGATGATATATTGTTTAACTATAACCTGTCTTTTATGATGTAATACATATATGTTGTAAAATCTTCACATATAAGTTGTAAAATCTTCACCTATAAGCGTGATGTATAACGTATTTTCTTGAGGCTTGAATCTGAGAAGTAACTCATTTTGTCTGCACGATTCACGAATTATGTTGTTTCTTACCCTGTCTCCTTCCGCAAACTTCTCCACAAAGATTTCTTGAGATCTTATCAAACTCAGCCTAAGTTTGTGTTTTGTTTTTTGGGCCTAAGACCTCTCCCTTCCCAAAAGGAAGAAGAGAAAACTGTGAACATTCTAACGTATTGCGAAAACATAATTATGATTGAAGTATACATCTTTACTGATTAGAACCGGTGCAGTATGAAGATGAGTTGGGACTTGAAAAAGGACCTGTAGTTTTTGTGGTTTTTGTAACATTTTTCTTATATTGATCCTTGTATCTTCCGAATTTTAAAAACACAAAATGTATTTTTCTGGCTTAATGGAGAAGTTTGTAATGTGTCCAGTAGAATATAGGGTGTATCCACAGTTGTTACCACAATCCCTTATAATACATGTATTGTTGACTGATCATTCTCTGTAACATTGTAACCAACAGAGCAGAATGACTGACTGTACTGTATTCACCCCTCTAGTTGCTTCCCCCCCCCCCCC